GTGAGTATTATTGACGTAAGTCTTTTTGGAACTTGCTTGAGGTTATTTACCTAGTAACATAAAGTAAGGTAACATTGAAAGGGCAAATGCTATCAATGTTGCCTTGCTTGTGACAGTAATAAGAAATTTAATTATCAGCTTCTTGGTAACAAATACACGCATACCACTGTTTTTGACAGTTGTATTGTATTCATCTCAGCTTTCGAACTTTATTTTTTTGGCCTTATTCATAAATCTTGTAATCAACCATAACGTGTACGAAACCTTGGCGCACCAAAAGTTGTTTAGATTAAAGATTGCTTGAACGTGGAGCCATAAGTTTGAAATCTACGAAAGGTACCCTCTGTTCTCTCCCTCAGCTTTGATCCCTTTTAAATTATAGGGCTAGTGCAGATGGCTTCATTAGGTCTCTAATTAATAAACGTGGCTTGATATATCGTGTATCGGAGATGTGTTAAAAATTTGCCACTGAATATTCTCAATTTTAGCCTTAAGATGTACAAAGGCTGGTTTCCATATAACCGCTACTGTCACTGCGACCTCTACAAGAAAATTTGGGCAATCTTTACGACAACTAGTTTGACACGATTGGTGCAGGATGAAAAATACCCCAGATGATTTGGATTAAACAAAGCGCATTGCATTTTAATGTTGCAACAATCGTAATAATCTTAAGACGGATTTTCGTATGGTCGCAGCTATCACTACCATCGCTGAAGAGTTGTTTCTGTATCAAAATGATCGCAACGACTGCTGAACCTTCTTTCCAGCGGTCTTAGCGATTACAGTAATGGTAGTGATCTTATGAAAGACAGACTTAACAAGATCGCATGACCGTAGCTACGTAGCTGGGACTGCAGACGATTTTCCACGTCCGCGTGAAGCAGGTGATATGATAGGTCACGTGCATTGATTTGAATCGACAAGCTCGATTTCTGCTGCAACTGTAAAGTTAATTTGGCTGAAATTTCGTTCAAATTAGACTACTTTAATCCCCCCGAAATTTATTAGTAAAT